TCCGTCTTGTAAATATAAGTTTTATTGGTAAAATATACTGAAATATTGACAAAACCCTGAAAGATTTATCTGACTATGGTTTATTAATAAATTCAAATAAAGCACTTTATTCAACTTGATGAACTTGCTGTTCTATAAACATACTCATAAGTTAAAAACATTTAAAATTGGTTCAAATCCTGCTGTAACGCTTATAATGACTAGTCTATCGATTTCGATTTGAATTATCAAACGTATGTACGAATTGCGAGTGTTTTACTTAAATGCTTTAATGTATTTTTTTTATTTTATAATTTAAATTTTACTTGTTATAAATGTTTTAAAGTTTATTTTGTTATAAATTTTTTTGTTTAGATTTTTCTATATTTATATTTGTTTATTATTATTTAGATTTGTTTGTAGATTCATACTAGTTTTTCATTTTAATCTATCTGACGACTACAGGCCTCGGTGGGAGTAAATGAGCGCGAAAGCAGAGAAAAGCTCTCCTAAAACGAACATGGCGAGCCACGCGAGATGCTCCTCTAAACTGATTTTTACGAGAGCTTTTGGTTTTTGCACAAGCTATCTGTTTGTTTATATAAAAATTGCTTATTTAATACAAAATTTTGATTTATACTTTTTACAAGCATATATTTGTAACGTTTATGTTACAATAATATACTCATAACAATTGTCATTTATTGCATCGTGAAAAAATTCTTTGGACGTAAATTTTTTTTTTTTTTTAGCAAAAACCATGCCTGTTTATTATCCAATGAGTTGCATTTTTTGGCTTTTCGTTTTTCTTTTTTAGTTACAATAATAATTAAATTTTTGAGAGAAAAAAAAAACTACTTTTGCGAGAATTTAAATTCCTTTTGTTAACCGTTTTAGGGGAGTGTGGGCGAGAGCTAAAGCTCTCGCTTCCTGCCGAGGCCTGCGACTATATGAAATATGTTCATTTAAGTACCTATAACAATCATTACCCGTATTCATTTCACTCCGTTAAACTAAAGGAGAGTCTGAATGTTCGTTAAGAAACAAACGTAGGGAAATAAATGATATTCTATACCAAGGCTCCGTCTACTAATTTAGGCTCCGATTATTTTATCCTATAAAATTTCTCAGTTAGCCAGCTCCGTTAACTAGTTTTCGTGCTGTTTTTTTCATTGCATCTAAACGTTGCGATTACAGCAGACGATAGTTTTGTTTAATTGGTAAATCGCAGACGGTTTTTTGATAAATATAAGTCTTTATATGCAAGTCTTTTGTTTTATAGTAGCCCTACAATCATTTTTTGAATCAATTTTAGTTAACTAAAAGGTGGTTCACCTTCTGCAAAAGGTATTGGTTTGCGTTAAAAAATTCGAATTAGAATGCATATAGATTTTTTTTTTTTTTTAATAATCTGGTCTTATCATCCAGCCCCGTTAACATAACTAAAAAATTCAGCCGATAAAAATGAAAAAGGAAATAAGAAACTAAAGCAAGAACTAATTTAAAAATCAATTTACTATTTACAGAAAAATAGAAAAAAATTAATTATTTCTTCTCATTATTATTAATTTTTTAATTCTCTATTTTATTCAACTTTTATTTTTATTGTACACGCACGAACACACATACACATACGCGCACGTACGCACAAATATATGTCCATTCATAAATACATACAAAATCAAATTAATCTGTTTTATATTCCATCTACAAATTGCTTAAGATATAATAAATATTGCATTTACAAATTGCGTTATTATTGTAAAATAAAATAATATCATACATGTTCTAAGTACCATACAATATAATTAAGATGTTGCGTCAATTTATTAAACATTAAATAACTAAGATTATCAAATGTTTTTAATAATAGTAATTGCTTTGTATCGAAATCAAATAAGTGTTATTTTGTTGAACGTTTAAAATGTTGAGTTGAATATTAAGTTTTTATATTACTCGTTAAAGTTCCATAACCGCGGCCTTCGGCAAGATATCGAAAAATCAGTTTGTTTTAATAATGCTTTTGATATAATAAAATTATTTGTTTAGAATTTAGTTTCGTATTTGTGGTTTAAAGAAAAAAATTAAGTTTGGAAAATTCTTAGTAGAATACCATTTTTAAACTTAAACATAAAAATAAGTATATTAAGAATATTTGTTTCATAGACATTAGGCACTCCAATTTCTCTTAGTAGTGGTCTGGCACTAGCGTATTTATTTGCATTTAATATTAAACGACTTGCTCGTTTTTGTATTTTGTAGATCATATTTAACTTTGAAGGATAAGTACTTGCCCAGATAATGTTGTAGTAGCTGATGTAGCTATGAATAAATGCAAAATAAATATTTTTTAAACAACTTGTGTTCAGGAGATGTTTTGTTTTATACATAATACCAATAATTTTAGATATTTTATTTTCTATTACTTTGATATGATTACTCTAGCTAATATGTTCATTAAAAATTACGCTAAAAAATTTGATTGAGGATTCTCGTTTAAGTTTAGCTTTATCAATTAGCAAATCAGCTAGGTTTAAGAGAAAGGTTTCAGATTTTGATAATTTTGTAAAAAGAATATATTTACTTTTTTCGACATTTAAAGAGAGTTTGTTAGCCTTAAACCAGTGTTAAATAATAGGCTAGTGTTTGTGTGGCTAAAGAACACTTGCGTATCATCAGCAAAATGGACTAATTTAAGGATGTTAGAAGATAAGTAGATATCGTCAATATAAACTAGGAATAACAGTGGACCAAGAATTGATCCTTGTAGGAATCTACAAGTAATATTTTCAAGTCGAGTTACAGTGTTGTCATATGATAAAGCTTGTTTCCGATTATTAAGGTAAGAGCAAAACCATTTTAAATTATAATTTCTTATTCCATAATTATACATTTTATAAAGAAGAATTTTGTGGTCAACAGTGTCAAGCACTTTTGAGAGATCGAGAAATACCTCAAGAATGTGTTTATTGTTGTCAAACCCATTTAAAATTTCATTGAGAAGTTTGGCTACAGTGTGTTTTGTTGAGTTGTTTCTTTAAAAGCCATATTGGTTATTACTTAGCAGGTGGTTTTTTACTAATTGATAATTGTTTAGCCTATTGTGCATTATGCGCGCTAATATTTTTGAAATGCATAGCAAAATAGAAGTAGGCCTGTAGTTAGAAGCAATAGAATCATCTCCGCTTTTAAATATAGGAACAACTTTTGCTAGTTTTAGATGGTCAGGGAACACCCCATTTTTTAAAGACAGATTACAAATATGTAGAAGGGGATATTTAATAAGATTTATCTTTTATTTTAATAATAATAAATTTATCTTTTTTTTTAATAATTTATAACTACTTAGGTAGTAATGGATTGATAAATATTTGAAGAGCTGTTAAAAAGCGTCTGTTTAACTGCAACGTTTCCGCAAAAAATAGATTGAAAAAAAAGCTAGAGACCCTTTTAGTACAATTGGTTGAAAAAGCCTAGAGTGTTTTCAGAAATGAAAAATAAAGACTATTTAAAAGTGTAAAGATGCGAAACATCTTTTGAAAAGTTGTCTTCTATATCAAACTATAATTTTAATCGATTCTCGATCTCTTAACCTGACAAATGAGAATCTTAACGAAACAGTATTTACGATCTCAATTTTAAATTGAATTTGTTGAATAGAATGACAAAGCTTAACTGTTAAAGTTTAAAGTAACGGTTAACCGAACATTAGCTTAAACTGAATAAATTTACGCTTATGTTTGGAGAACTAATGGTAAAAAACTGCAAATTCAGGTTCATTGCAATTTTGTTATCATCATTTGCTTTGCAAAAATTTGAAGGTAAAGCCATGGCCTTAGAGCAGCAATAATTTCTTGTGTTTTGCAATTAGTTTTATAGTTAGTATTATATATAGTATAGTATTAGTATTATATTTATAATTAGTATTATATTTGCAATTAGTTTTATAGCGGCAATCTGAGCTGAACGTCTAAATCTTCCATCTAGCGGAACTGCAGCTAAAAACTAAAAGATTTTTGATTTATTACGATAATCAATAAAACTTATACATAAAAAATTTAATATTGATGAAAGAAAGCAACATCAGGGTACGAAAAAATACTTTTAAAAGAGTTTACCGTAGGTCTAGCAATTACATCGTGCGCTAATTTATTTCAAGAGTTTGAAACACAGTTTTTAAGTATTTGGGGCATAAAAAATAATTTGTTATGCATCACCAAGTAAATTTACTTTATGCCTCTTCAAAAAAAAAAAAAATTTTTTTACTTGTTTGTAATTAAAATCTCATAATTTTAATTTTTCTTCCGTCTTCCGGCTATTCTAATATCTTGGCGCCCGCGGCTTGTGTGCCCCTTTTTCCTCTTTCTCTCGGGGGCCCTGTGCATGATTTGTTCTTAATTATTTAAAACATTGTAAAAATTGTACACTAATTTACACTAAAAAAGTTAAAAAGTTTTGAAAAAGTTTTTTGAGTTAATATATTTTTATCTTAATATAATTCTTCCAGTGAACGTTTCCCGTTTACCGTTTAGTTAACGTCGATAGTTACTATTGTTTAATAGTTAGTTACGGTTCCGTAAAATATACTCGCTGATATACAGGCAAGCTGAGCTCCCTGTCAGCTTTTATATAGTTAAATTTTAAAAAGAAGATTAATGCTGTGGCTATTTTTTAAACGTTTGTATATGTTTGTTTTTTGCTTTGAACTTTTAGTGTGTTTATGCCCTAACCATTTATCATTTTGTTTACTCTTTAATTACTTTGGTTCCACGCAAACTTTTCTAGCTTTTCAATAAATATTTTATGACTTTTATTGAATGAATGAATTTTGTTTATAAGTATAATTTTGATATTGTATGTTTGTTTATTTAATATATGAATAAGCAAATGCAGTAAGTATTTGCTTTAATTTTTTTTGAGTTTTAATTTGTTTATTTATTTGGATACCCTATACTATAATTTGTTCATGCAGTTCTTGGTGGTCGAGAAAAATCTAAAAAAGTTAAAAACTAAAAATTTATTTTTAGTTTTTAACTTGATTTGATCTCATTTTAAGATTTCCAGTTTTCTTTTTCAGTTTAAAACATGATATCTCCAGTTTCAAATGATCTCTACTATGATATCCACAGTTCAATCATCATGGAGATATCTCGATATCATGAAAAGGATCTCCATCATCTCCATCATGTTGAAGAGTTTATTGTTAATAAAAGAGGAAAGTTTGGTAAGTCCATATATTATATTAATAACTGTTATTTTTTTAAAATTTTTACATATAAAAATAATAATATTAAATATTTTGAATTAAGGTTTAGGGTATTGGACTGACTGATTGGACCCTAAACCTTTAATTTGACTGATTCCGTTGTATTGAAATCAGTCCATCAAGACTTTAAACAACTTTGGGAAAAACGAAAAGTAGGACAACACAACGCCAATATTTAATGAAGTTTTGCGATTAGCTGTCTGTGTGTACACCACAAGGCATTTATTGTTAAAGGATTACATATGAATAAAAATTATTTACTTTATAACTTTAGTTAAATGTTTTTTTTTGTAATAATTTTTTTTTTTTAAAAAACTATTTAGTTTAGATTTTTTTTATTACAAATCCAAATATTCTATTAACCCATTGTATTTCTGTAAACCTTATCCTCTTCAATAAAAAAGATAGTTAACTAAAAAGTGATAAATTGGTCGATATTCTAACTAGAATACCCAAATTGTTATCAGAAGTTATTTTTAAATACGATCCTCAAAGTGTCATTCTAATAGGTCAAACTACCAAAAAAAAAAAATACAACTATTTGATCCAGTTGCAAGAGTCTCAGAGTCATAGGTACCTTAACCTCTAGTTAAAACAAGTCTTACAGCTTAGATTTCTTAAAAAGCTATCAAAAAATGATTCAACTTTTGATAGTTTTGGAATTTGCACATGGACAACTTTCAAAATCAAAAAAAAAAATTTATTTGATATGATGCAAGGTCTTAGGTCACCTTCAGGGTATCTGTGGTAAACATACAGTTACTTTGTAACTTTTAAAAATTGTATACAAATATTTACAAGCATGTTAAGATCAGTTACTAATCTATAATCAAAAGAAAATCTTAAAAAGAAAATAAAAAATAATGACACCTAAAACCTAAAGATAAACTAAAGAAAATTTAAATTAAAGATTAGTTAATAAGATAGCTGATAAAAATAGAAAAAAAATAAAAAATACATAAAAAAATAAAAATAAAATCTTAAAAAGAATTTAATTCATTAAAATCGTCATAACAAATAACAAGTCCTTGTTTGAGTTTTCGTTTGAATAGAGAAAAAGAAGAAGACTTTTTCAGCTTGTTATTTCATAAATTGTTCCACAGTTAAGAACCTCTGATAGCAATAGAAAATTTGATCATCAAATAGTGCATTTTAGATTTTTCATAATTGTAACTTGAAAGTCTTGTAGGTTACATGTTAATAATTGTATTGTGTACAAAATATTATAAGAGTAATAAATTATTATAAAGTATTATAAAGTTTGTGTACATACCGTCATACGGGGCTACTTGGACCCAAATTTGGTACATGTTTGTGGTTCTCGCTCCTATATATGTCAATGTAAAAAAAACTTGTTGTTGGTAATTAACGGACTTGTGAATTAGTAATGATGATTGTAGAGAAAAAAAACCCATAGTGAAAAAAAACCCTGCTCCTTTTGAGGTTTCTGTCAAATCTCTCGGATAAATGGTAATGTCTTCTAATAAAGGTTTTTACACATTCGACACCTGGGAGATTTTCATTGAAACATTGAACATCACTCCCTAATCAACCTAGATAGGAATTCACAATAGTTCGAAGATCAAATGAGGTCAGTGGGTAGCCAAATGTTTATTTAAAACTTCATTCAAGCAATCACAAAATGGATACTCTTCTTCAGACGTGAAGACAGCTGGATGCCCTGCATATTTCTGCAGACGTGAAGACAGCTGGATGCCCTGCATGTAATAGTAAGGTGTAGTCTTTGAAGTGCTTTCTTAATGCAGGAATGGCTGATACTAAATTGCTCTACAAATCGTTGACTCTTAGATCCGCGTTCAATATTGCTCTAAGTTTTGATCTTTACAGTCTTTGTAATCTCTAAATTCCACTTTTCTTTTATATCTGCGAATAATTCTGGTAGAACCAGTTTCGATAGCACGAAGTATACGCAAAAAGGTGTTTAACAATAGCTTTAACCATTCATTATCATTACTTAGGTATACATTTTATAGCCTAACAAATATTAAAAACATGTTAAAAATAACAGATATATCAACTCCTTTTAAATATATTAATACACTTTAGGGTTTAATGTTAATGGAAAACAAATTTCATCATTTTCAAACATAATCTGCTACAATGACATTTGGGTTCAAGTAGCCCTAAATTTGAACTTCAAACATAAATACTATTTTTATTTTTATCAAAATAATAAAAATAAAAGACAATTATAATTGCTACATTTTGTAGCAACTGATACTTCTTTTAAGAAGTGATTTCAAATAATTTTTATCTTTTTTTGTTATAAATTTTACCATTATTTTAGTTTATAATAGTTTTTTGATCCCTTCATGCAAAAAATTTAACTTTTTTTTTTTTATCTTACTTGCTTTGAGTAAGTGTGTAATTAACTTATTTACTTTCATATGAAATAATTCTATAAAAAATAAACAAATAAATAAACACTTTATTTTTTTGGGTTCAAGTAACCCCGGGTAGCTCAAGTAGCCCCGCATGATGGTACATAAGAATTTGATACAGTTTTAACTGAAAAACATTGAGTTTGAGATGGTTTTTAAATAGTTCTTTAGAATGTGTGAGTTGACCTGCACTTGAAATAATTCTGACAGCGTGTTTTTGTCTACTAAGCAGATTTTTAATTTTTCCTACGTTAGAGCTGCACTATGCAATATTTGCAGAAGTTATCTAACAATGAATGAGGGAAAAATAAAAGATTTTTAAGCAGTTTTGCTTCAATATTAAGCTTTGTATAATGTGCCAATTTTTTTTTTTAGTTTTATCGTTCTTATGTGTTCTCTCCATATCACGTTTTTTTCCTAAAAACTTTAATGATAACTCTCTACTTTTTTTAGAGTTGCCAAAATAAAGATCAGGAAGTTTTAACGAAATATTTTCTTTAGTATTTAAAAAAAAGCAAATAAGTTTTATTAAAATTTAAAGACAGTTACTAGTTTACTATTTTATATAAAAGGTTAATATCTCCATGTAATCAGATTTTCCTTTTTCATGTGACATGTATTGCTTTTTATTGTTTAGATAAATTTTGAGCTATTCTAACATGTGTTTTTAATACCATAACTTTCTATTTTTTTAAATAAGAATGTAATGGTCTACTATATTGAAAACTTTGCTTAGATTTGTAGAAACTTTGAGAGTATACTTACTTTTTTCAAATTCTTTAAATATATCGCAATTAATATAACAGTATTAATTAATGGCATGGTCAGTTGTGTTCCTTGGTAAGAAAACCAAGTTGTTTATTATGTAGAATATTGTTTATACTTAAAAATGTCTAAATTCAATTATACATAGTTTGCTCTAAGATTGAGAAGCAAGGGAGAATTGAAATGTGTCTGTGATTTTCAGGATTAGAAATGTCTCCTACTTTGAATATGGGTACGACCCTTGCAATTTTAAATTTCTTTGGATAAACACCTAGCTTTAAAGAGAGACTAAAAATATGTAAAACAGGGATTGTTAAGTATTTTATCGATTTTTTATTTACATTACTACTGATATTATCAAATCCCACCTTTTTGTTTAGTTTTGAAAGATATACTGTATCTAAGAGTTCATTTTCAGTCATTTCATGATTATCCATCTAAGAGGTCTTATTAGGAGTAAGATGTGACTCAAAGTGTACTTCAGTAGTTTCTATTTTTGACGCTGAAGTGGAACCTACACTGACAACACATTGATTAAGAGTTTCAGCAATTAAAGATTTGTTTGTAATAATTTTATTATCAATGTTGAACAGCCGTGGCGCAGTGGTTAGAGTTCTGGCTCAGAACTCAGAGGTCCGAGGTTCGATGCCAGCTCTAGCTCAACAAGCGACACTGGCACGGAAGGAGGCGTGAACTTCCTGTTAAATGCTCATCCGCGGTGCTCTATGATAAGACCGTTAGGACTTCTGGGAGCACCTAAATACATACAAAAAAAAAAAAATGTTCAGACTTATAAGAAGACTATTTATATGAAGACTATTTAAGAAGTAATTAGAGCTTAAAGACAAAAGTACTCAAAATGGCAAAACAAAATTACCTACCTTTAATCGCAATTTTAAATAAATTATTTATAAAGATTTACCTAAGGATGGTTTGTTAAGAAAATGTTTACTTGGTCAGAACTAAAATTAAAATAAAGCATTTTATTCAACTTATTAACTTGTAAAAAATTTGGTTTAGTTTATTTCGCCGTTTAAAAATGTTTACAATGTACAAAAATATAGTAAAGTATACATTTGGCTGGAGCATGAAGAATGCATAAATAAGCTTTATCACCGAGCCCCGATAGTAATGCTTCTATACATCCGTGTAATATAAGCTTTTTATTTATTCTTGTTTCTTCAGTGCTAAAATGAGCTCTTCTCAGACGAACTTAAACAGTGATTGAATGTAAGCCCTCACAGTCTCTGTTTGAACCACCTATTAGCTCTATGCAGTTAAAAATAAACAGGTACCTCAACTTGACAGATCTTTTTCCAGCCAATTTTGGTGTGATACAATGGTAGAGAAAACGTAATTGGGGCTTCTCTTTTCTAGCCAAGTGTGCCAGAAAATACCTTTGTATTCAAAAAAAATGTCATAATTTATTCTTTGAATAAAGGGGAGTTACAAAACGTGAATTGTAAAAATTGAATATGCCAAGTTGTCGAACTTTAGTCATTCAAACTTATCAAAATTATATTAGGCATTTTACGCTCAGAAGTACAATGAAGATAAATTTTTTCTTGGAAAGAAAACTTTAGTGGAAAGCTCGGTCAATATTTGTTTCGGCATAGAAGTAGATAAAGAAAAAAGTTGGACTTTAGTCCTCAAGCACATCACAGACTGTGTTTTTTTCAAGCATCAGAGATAGAACCCACTCAACCCTCTGTATTCAACGCATTGACACGGATTAATTTTGTTTTAAAGTCATCAAATTAAAATGGAGTGCAATTATTTTTTGTCACATTTTCGATCAAATTTTTCAACACAACTTTTTTTGTGAAAACTATAAGAATACATGATGATCCTATTACAGAGCAACACCACATAGTAATTAGCATTTAATTAGTTGGTTTCCAATTCAAACTAAACGGACAACGCTTTTTTTTTTGACCACTTTAAAGTGGTCACTTTGACCACTTTGAAATTTTCTAAATTAAAAGATTTCTTAAAATTTGAAAAATATTAAATGAATTCGACCAACTTTAAACTGAGAAAAATAAACATTTATGGTTTTAAAAAATTTTAAATAATGTTATGGTGCGAGAGTCTCTAAAAATTATAAGATTTTTAAAAATTTTTTAAAATCCTGCTAATTTGAAGATAAATCTATTGAAAACTCACCTTTTCATGTCAAATAAGCAACATTTTTGTTTGATTATATACGTGGTAACAGGAAGGTTGTCAATAAAATTTATTCTAGTTCCCTTCTTCTTGATTTTTTTTTTTTTCGCAGTTGTATAAAAAGTATTTTCTACTATCTTTAAAGCTAAGTTTCAAAACCATATACCATGTTAAACCATATAAGTTAAAAATATATATCAATTTGATAGAATGCATATCTGCACCAGTTAAAAAAAAGAGATAATTTTAGGATTTCAACTCTTACCGCAATTTTTGAATGTAATATAGAATTAAGTCTAATAGTATAAGATATTATAAAATACAAGAAAATTATTGCAATTTTGATTGCAATTACTTGAAAAATATAAAAAGAAAGACACCCTTAAGAAATAAAGGCTTCACCTGGCTGCAAACCTGAAAACCTATAAAATTGATTAGAATGAGAGAAATATGTATTAGGAATATTAGTATTATTATTATATTAGGATATTAGGAATATTAGGAATATTAGGAATATTAGGAGAATATTAGGATAACATAGAATATTTGGAATATCATTAGTAAAATTAAGTATGGAAAAAATCAGCTTAAGACATCATTTTGATTAACTGAATTTTTGGAGCCATTTTTACTTTTCTTCCTTATTAACATTATTAGCATGACAACGGTGTGTCATTTTAGATAAAAAGTCTTTGAAAAATTTTGTTTGCTCTCTTTTTTAAAACATTTTACTACTTTCATTACGTTCATTACGTTAGACTGGTAACAAAAAGACCCTATAATATAAAACCCCCTCCACTATACCCCAAATGTGAAGGCAATAACTTTCATTTTCTATTACTATAACGCATTACAGAACTTTTGAATCGAAACTGCTCAACTATATTTTAAAGGCAAATTAATCAAATACTAAAACGAACACAAAAATTACTCATCATTTTTATTTTAAAATGTGTTTTAAAAAACATTTTAAATTAAAAAACCGAATTCTAATCAAGTTGTCGTCATAGAGTATTTCGTCACATGTCATAACGTCATAAAGTCGTCCTAACAACGACATTTTGTCGTAAGACAAATTTCTCTTATTTCTTTATATTTTTATCAGCACAAAGTTTAACCATAATTTTACCTTTTTTACCCGCGTGACACAAATATAATATATAATTTATTAGCATTGGAATGTTCTCAACATATTAAAAAAAGAAATCGTCTTTAATAACTGTCCATGATATTTAAAGAATAAAAATAAAATAGTCATCGCAAAGAAATATAAACATTAGATTTTAATATTAAAGTAATTTTTAAATAAAAAAATGTGACAACAGTTTAAAGACTTTTATTGATGTTAAATTAATAACTATTATGGGTTTAGGTATTATATGAAATGTGTTGTTATTTATATATAAAAGTTGCTTACTTTATATATAAATGGATTAAGTTGTCCGGAACAACCCTCAAAACATACCATCTCATCAAACAATACCATCCCATCATACTTTATTCACAAATACTAATTTTAAAACCGGTGAATAAAAGTATTCAACGAATTTTTTTTTAATAAATATTGTGAATAAAAATATTTTAATCAATAAAAACTTATTACTTAACATAAAATGTAGGTATTCTAAATGTGAATCAAATATGATGATTCATCAATCTTCAGGTGGGGGAAATGTACATCTAAATGTGAATCAAATATGATGATTCATCAATCTTCAGGTGGGGGAAAAAATATCTCCCATTTAATCACTCCTAGCCTATCATTTCGGCACATTATGAAAGATACTTTATGCCATATTTTCACTCATACAATGTTTTGAAAGCATATAAAATCACAAAGCTTCTTTAGTATATGCTGCAAATCAAGTGTCCGGAGTCACCCGCTCTACGGGGCTACCCGTCTATCTCCTATCTATCTACCGTCTATCTCCTCCGTCTATCTAAAAAAAAAGATCACCTACCTTAACAAAAAAAAAAAAAAAAAGAAAACTTCATTTAAACTTTTTTTTCCGTTAACAATCATAATTTGATAGTTAGCTTGTTGTTTCTATTCTACATAACATTATTTTTGGCTTGTAAAACTTGATTTTAGTGGTATAAGTTAATTACCATATTACGAAATACTTTCACTTTTTTCCAAGTTATTATTTCCTTTGCGAACTTTTTATTGATTTTCTTATTATTCTTATTGTTGTTTTTCTCACATAATATTTTCACAACTTAAAATTTTTTTAGTAATTGTTTTAACGCCTTTAATTAAAAATGATTATAAAACTGCGCACTGACAATTGCTCAAAATGTGAACAGCGTTGGAAAAGATAGTGCCGTCTTAAGAATGTGTGGTAAATCTAACACTGAGCTTATCTTTTAAATAATTATTACATTAGGTAAACATTAAGGCTTGTACATTTGAGTGTGAACTAAGTCATTATGTTTGTCACTTTTTATATATATTTTTTTAAATTGTGCACCTTTAAATAATTGTGTCTTGCAACTCACGTAGTTGTAAATTCAACTTACATAGAGTACTAATGATTTTTTGTCGCTTCTTGTTGCAGTACCTAAATGAAACAATATTTTATTATAATGATGAGATTAATAATATAAAAGAAAAGATTAAATAAGAATATAAACTCTATAAACTATAAGAATATAAATTTTATAAACTTTTTGACATTTCATTTTATTTGAATATTTAAGGAATACTTGCTTACCTTAACTATAACGTGCCACGAAATAGAAAGTATATTTTGGACGTATTAGTAAACGGACTTCACCGACTTGAATATAGAGGATATGATTCAGCAGGTTGAGTTAATTTTGTTTTAATATCTTTTGTTATCTTCAGCATAATTAGCATTCTGTTTGTGTTCAACTGTTTTATGGTTTCGTTACATTGGTTAAATTTACCTTGTTCATACTTTCATAGAATAAAAGTTCTATATAATTTTTAAACTAACGATTTAATATTTATAGAGACGAATATAGCGGTTTAATATTTATAAATAGTTATAGAGACGTTTTAACACTATCATTAATTCTATTAGGTATTGCAGTAGACTCTGATCAAACCACAAGTTGTAAGGTTTTGTAAGTTAAAGTTTTTAAACTGTTGACATGCTTTGGTTTTTGGTGGTTCCGGTTGCAAAATGTTAGTTTTTTTTAAAATTTACACAATTTCTTTATGTTTAGAATATTCAAAACTAAAGGCAAAGTTAAAAATCTTGCTGATGAGATTAAACATTAAACATTAAACAAAAAAAATTAAACATTTATATGATAAAAACTAAAATTACTTTTTTGCATAAATTTAGTACGTGGACTACTCAGTGTTCAAGCGGATCTTTTTTTTTTTTTTTCAATATAAGTGTTTGTTTTACACTGTATTTTTGTGAAAAAATTAGAATTATTGAAAGATTAAACAGATACACTTTATAGGCAATGCAAACCTGCATTTTGAAAAGGAGTTTTCAATTCACTTTGGTATTTCTCACACTAGATGGGCAACACATGGTGTGCCAAGTCCTCTTAATGCTCATCCTCATCGTTCTGACTCTAATAACGGTAAGACGAAAAAAATTTAGTAACGTTTATCTAATAATAGAATAATATAAATTCTAAAAGAAAAATATTGTTATTACTTTATATTTGTTATTACTAAATAGACGTGAAAAAGCATACAAAAGATGTGGCAGTAAAGTTATTAATTATTGCTTTTTGTTTAGAATTTGTTCTGGTTAACAATGGAATCATAACAAACTATAAAGAAATTTTTGTTTAGAATTTGTTCTGGTTCACAATGGAATCATAACAAACTATAAAGAAATTTTTGTTTAGAATTTGTTCTGGTTCACAATGGAATCATAACAAACTATAAAGAAATTTTTGGTAAGAATATGCTCTTTATTATTTAACAGTGAATTTCATTCATATGGTTAATTTTTTAATTAAAAATGGACGGTTTTTCGATGTAAGCAAATAGGGGGAAATGCTTCAGATAAAAAAGCGTTTTCCTTAAAATAAGTCAGGCAATTTTAGACTTAGTTTTCGCTAAAATACGTCAGGCAATTTTTTTTTTTTTTTTTTTCGCTGCTTCCCTACTGAACTTTACCCCTTTTTAAATTACTCAACAAATTTTTAATCCCCTATCCTCTTTAAAATTCATTTTGCGGTTTTATGTGCAATACTATTTTAAGTTTTTTCTTTTTGTTATTATTATTTTCTTTTATTTTGAAAGACATTATTTTAACGCGCATACTAATAACTAATCCACAATAAAAATATGTATTTGTAGGCGCGAAATTCAAAATATTTTATCTAATAATTTAACATAATATGGCGTTGAGCCAAGGATGTTAATACTTTTAAATATTAGGTCTGGTGAATAAAAAATAGCAATTGCTTTAACTCAGATGGTCAGTTTTACGTGAAAAAATCTTCAGCATATTTGGCAAAATTTTTATTCTTGTAAAGTTAAGCAATTTACTCAAAAGTTGCTTATCTATACGTGAATAAAAACTTACAAAAAATTGGTAGAATTTTTACGTAAAGTTGACCAATTATTAAGTAAAGGCAATTTTATTTTTATTAGTAGTTTTTTATTAGAGTAAAAGCTTTTTTTATTCACAAGACCTATTAAAACGCCTATTACAAGGCCTATTAAAAGGCCTATTAGGGTGCTGTTTCAAAAACTTTAAGAGAGCGTTACTCTGACATTTTATTTCAAATTAGTTAACTGTGTTTTGAGTATTATGGTGGTTTATTAAAAATTATATTGGTTATGGCTTTTGTTTTAAATTGAATTGCACAGAATAAGTGTAGTTACATAAATCGACGGACTAAAATAGGTATAGGCGCAGTGGATTATATTAACATTATAAAATTTTATGTCAATGCGTATTAACTGTTTTTATTTAACAATTAAACTATCACTAATAATTTCTTCGTCGAAGATAAATCGGCTAATTGAATGAAAAAACCATAGACGCAGCAGAGTCTACATTAATCTACTAAAATTTAAGTCAATTAAAAAAGTCAATTGTAACTAAGTTAAATTAAATAGCAACAGTCAAGGAGTGTACATACATAAACTGAGGGTTTTTGTTTGGCTTTTGTTCAAAGGAAGGGTTTTTCTACGATTAAACTTAAAGACAAAAATGTTGCGTCACTAAATCGAATATCTCCCTTACCATAAAACAAATCGTTACAAAGTATCTAACCCATTTCCGGTTTTTCTTTCCGGTTATAAAAACCTATACCCTAAAAACCACCCCCTATTGCATGATGCAATTTGTGGACAGCCGCAAATGTAAAGAGTTACATTTTAACAATGTAAATGTACTCCATTAAACTAGCTAGAAAATTAATAAAATTCTTTATTAAAAACTTTTTTTTACGTTTTTTTTTTATTGTTATGTAAAAATTTTCATGAAAGATAAACTTTTCATATATCAATTTACTAAATAGGGAGAACATGCAAAGAAGTGACTAAGGGTTTTAGTTAGGGCAGCAACCGTTCTCATTATATGCTGTTTATTTCTTCTTTTTCTTTCTTTTACACACACTATTAGTACAGATATTTATAGATATTTTGTACATATTACATACAGGTATTTATAGATTTTTTTTACTTATTACATACAGATGTTTATAGATATTTTGTAGGTTAATATATATTAAATAATATCTCTTGATTCAGGTTTAGGAAGGTTACACTCTCGAATCTCAAACCGATACAAAAGTTATTGCTAAATTAATAAAATACTTATTTGATCGTGATCAAGAATCACATACATCTATAAAGCTTAGCTTTCCTGATCTTGTAGAGAGGACTGTACGCCAACTGGCATTTGTTTTGTTAATTCAAACTGATAGTATTGTTATTTTATAGACCTTATTACAAATGTTTTTAAAAGTTATTGTTATTTTAATAATGACCTGAATTAACACATGTAGGAAGGAGCATATGCTCTTGTCTTTAAAAGCACGCATGAACAATAAAACTTATTTAACAAGAGATGTGCAAACATTACAACTAGAGATCCAAGAAATAATAAAAGGTAACTGCAGATTTAGGTCTATGTTTTTTTGTTTTTTTTATTACACTACTGTATTTTTTTTTCCATAATTTTTTTTTATTTTTAATCGTCTGTTTTTTAAGATTTCGGAATTTATTGGTTTTAAATTTATTATAAACATTGATAAATACGAGTTTTTTTTTGAAAAAATTCCTTGTTTGATTTTTAATAATATCTGCTTTAATTTCGACAACTTCTCGATGTGTTTAGATAACATTTATTTTTTTTTAGGTAGTTATTCATCTTTTATGCAAAAGGAAATAATGGAACAACCAGAAAGTGTTTACAACACAATGAGAGGAAGAGTAAACTTCCAAAATAACACTGTTTTACTTGGTGGATTGGTATCACACATTGATTACATTAAAAGATGCAGACGACTCATATTTATTGCATGTGGAACAAGTTATCATAGTGCTGTTGCTGTATGACCTTTTATCTTTTAATTATAATTTTTTAATTGAGTTATAATTGTTTTGTTCATTTTTATATAGTAAAAAATGACCACATTTTTAAACTTTGTAACTTTTTAGACTCGTCAGTTGATGGAGGAGTTAACAGAACTTCCAGTTATGGTTGAGCTAGCTAGCGATTTCTTAGATCGAAATACTCCAATATTTCGGGACGATGTCTGCTTTTTCATAAGTCAGTCAGGTAAATATTAAAAAAACTGTGTTTTAGTCATATATAAAAAAAGTATATGGTCATATGAATTTTAAATACAGTAGAATCTGCCTAACTCAAACCTGGTATTAGTCTGGTATTTACTAAGATGGACAGATTTTCATTAACTTAAATTTTGTCTGTTACCTTCTATTACACACTAGTTAAGATAGACCATCTGTTAGTATTTACAATTTTTTTTTCATTCAAAATATTTATGTAATAATAATAACTTGCTTCAAAATTAAGAGTTCAATGGTCAGATACCAGTTCTGACCTTATTTATGAGGTTCAATGCCAGCTCTAACTAGATAAAAAGAAAGTATGAACCTCCTAATTAATTGCCCTTTTGTGGTGCTCTGTGACAATATTATTAGGTCTTTTTGGATTTATTTAAAGTATGTTAGATGTGGTTTTTAAATGGTTGAAGTCAAACATTCTTGTGTTTAAAACCAGTTTTATAGTCAAAGCTTTGTATTTTGCTAAAGAATTTGATGTAACAATTTTAAAGGTGTATTGATTGTTGGAAAAAAAGAACAAATCAGAGCCATAAAAAGTGGATATTTACTTACAAAGAACAGTTGACAATGATGTTTTATTTTTTTTTTTAGCCGCCATAATTTAATGGATTAAATTATTATTTGTTAACACCTTTTATCTAATTAGATATAGGTGTTTTCTGGATTGTAAGTAATTAGAATTATTTTACTTTAATGATAAGGTTCATTACATATTATATAATAAACATAAATGAGATATTATATAATAAACATTGAGACTCCTGGCATTTGATATTATATAATAAATATGTATGAGACTCTTGGTATTTTGCTTTTATTACCTGACCTTGCACTTTCCTTGGTTACAACTTAGTCACCTTGTTTGTTTTTTTTTATCACCTTTCCTTTTTTATTTTTAATATAAAATTCATATAAATGTGTTTTTGCACTTTTTTTTAAAAAATATACAGAAGTCAAATCACCTAAGTGTTTAAAGTGTCCGCGGAAAAAAGGTAGTCGTTTTTGTTTTATTTTTTAGTAATACGCATATGCCAAATATACTCTAAGAAACTTTGTATGAAGTATCTCAGAGTTATAGGCTAAAGTTCGCCTAAAAAGAACACATGTTTAAAACACCACTTAGTTGATGAGTTTGTTTTAACTGTATTATACCGCCGCAATAAATTAATTTATATTAGAAATATTGTCATCAAGACGCATTAAACACATTTTTACGAAGAGCCACGCCTTACTACATAATGATTAAACAATTATATAAATGTATTTTAAAGATTACCTATTGCGCTATTTTTTGTCTTAAATTTTATAAAAATATTTTAGTTTACACTTTTTTATTGAAAAAAGGTAGGTTATTTGACTATAGTAGCGAATCTTTAAACGTGTTTCAACATTACGAGGCTTGACGTAAAAGAGGAATTTACGCTGGTTTTTAGGATAAGACTCCGTCGGAAGTTTTTAGAATTTAATATTTAAAATTTTTGAAATGTCAATTGGAGACCACCTCGAAAGAGTTAGTTCTATGTTAATTTCCTCATGAGATTTTGTATTTTCACCAACACTGCGTGTGTTGCATGCACATTTTGCGCGTGCGATAAGTCTCATAAGTCTCCCTGACGATTAGCATCCAACAACATTCTTTCTTCGTTTAAATCATGGATTAACAAATTGAACTATGAAAATAATTTATTTTAAATTTCATTCACATTTTCAGGCATAAATATCACATTATCAAATTAAAATTATTATAATCATAACCTCTTTTATAGTTGAATTTTTTGAAAATAATAAAAGTTTTTTTTTTTAAAAAAAAAATGAATAGCACCAATAAAATACCGAAATGGCAAACCAGAATGAAAATTGATCTTCCTGCTTCTCCACAAAATATGTTTGCTTTAAGAAACCATGAAAATAAAAAGCAAAAAGAAACGAACAAAGTTTTAAAATCAAATTGTACAGCAGCTAACGTCCGTTGGAACACGCGCATGAAAAAAGAAGATGTCAATGAAAAAAAAACATCATCTTATGAAAACTGTTACATAAATTCAAATAGTGTCTTTTATGAAAATAATGACATAGTAAACGAAGTAAATGACTTTAACAATGATTTTTCCGATTGGGAGTCGGAAGATGAAACTTTTAATAACACTTTTAAAGTAATTTAAAAAAAAACTAACTTTTTATATGTAAATAATTTTTTAAAACTAATCTAAAAAAAAATAATAACAAAATAAAAAGCATACATAATCGCCATCTTGTATTTTATTATTGCTGTTGTTGTTGTTGCGTTTTGCTTATTTCGGGTAGAGCTTGTAGGTCTTGAATAATAGGAAGAACTAAAGTTTTTATCCATGGTGAAATTGACATAGATGAATTTATATTTTTCTTGCTATTATTTTAGTACTTACACCATGATTTAGTTGTATTTCTAGGGCAAAATTAATGTCGATAATCAATATCAGGAAAGCTATTAAAATTGAAAGAGTATAACATTAACCGCTTTATTCATGAACTTCATTTTCATGATGCTAAACAATAGTTTTTATTAGGATGACATCCATTCCACTTTCTTTTAACTTTTCTAGATAAATTTTTTTACTCGACATCTTAACAAAAAAAAAATTAAATAAGCAACAAGATTGTTTGTTCTCTGTTTTATAAGATTTGTGACTTCTATCAATGCAGTTTAGACCGAGAAAAACAAGAACAACTCTTTCTTGATGACTTTATGCTTTTATCTCAAAATTGCTATTAAAAAATTAAGTCCAAAATTATTTCTAAAACAAGTTAAAAATTTGTTGCTGTGAGGTTGTTAGGGAGTTTTATATGATAGTGGGGCTCAACTAGGTCAAAGTTAATCTATATATTTAAACAAGTATGTCAAAAGTTTTTTAAAAAAGTCAACTTAAATCTTTTATAAAATTGAAAAAAAACAAAAAAATAAATTATTTTGTCATTTTTCTTCCTGGTGTACCACCTTTACAGAATTCTGATATAAAATAAACACAGTATTCCCTTACAAAATAATTTTTTTTAAAAAAGTATTTTTTTTTTAAGAAAAAAAAAACATAAAAAAGCAATGAAAAATAATCAAAAGAAAGCATTAAAGAATCTAAAGTAACCAAAAAGCAGGAAAAAAACAAACAAACAACCACTTAAAGATCGATGAAGTAGTAGGTATTACAACTTTAATTAAAAGATCAAAATAAAAGTTATTACGAAGTACGAACAAACCTACGGTAATCAAAATGCACGAAAATATTTCAATATAAAGGAAGTCTTTTATGACGTAATGATATTTTAATGACGTAATGAAATTATAAATAAATACTACGAATATGAATGCAGTGAAGAAAGAAAATCTGACTCTGAAAAGAACTCTAAAAATAAAAATTACCATATATTACATAAAAAGTTTCAATTTTTATTGTAAAATACAAAATGTTTTTTAAAAAATATATAGTTATATAAAATATAAAATATATAAATATAATATATAAATAAATAAATATATAAATAAATATATAATGTATAAATAAATAAATATATAAATAATTAAATAAGTATAAAATATATAAATAAAAAATATATAAATAAAAAATATATAGATATAAAAAAATATAAAATATATAAAAAAACCTAAATTGCTTTCAGTAATATGCCATTTTAATATGTCAATGCAATTCGGCAACATCTAACACGTTTCTCTTTATACTTTTTTTTTAAAAAAATCAATATTCTCATTTGACGGTTGTGGAACACCTACTACGACTTTAAGTTGACCTTTTACTTTTGTTTTTAATCTGCATCCTTAAAGTTTTATTTTATGTTTCATGTCATTGTCATTTTGGAAAAATAAATATTTTTAAAAGTCACATTTTTGTCATGTTTAAGACCACCCTTTAACCCCGTTCTCCACCTGTCCAGACAGCAAGGATTAGTTAGGTCATTTTATTTTTCAATATTTTTTTACAAGTGTAGGTGGACCTATTTTATATATTTTTTCTTTTTTTAAGTAGACAGTTTTGGCTAAAGCCTTCTAAGCCACTGCTTTAATACGGCCCTGGTAGGTCTAATAGCTGAGGGTGCTATATCTGACCCATAACTGACTGATGTGGGATATGGTTTACCTAGATTGCTTGCTCCGGTTGAATTTTTGTTTTAACAGTTGGAGAACCGCTATCTACAAATATAGTTGTTTGATATTATTACCCTTTGCCCCTTAACCCCTATTGACTGCTTCTAAAACCAACATTTACACTACCTCTCTAAGTAATAATTTTAGAATGGTTCTAACTGATGCTCTCACCGTATGTTCCATATGTAAGATGTTTTGTTAGATTTGGCCTTACCTTCGGCCATCATGCTGAAGATGCAACGGCTGACCTAACATTAATTACTGCGAGTTATTATGAGCACATTTTGTTTTTCGCGTTTAAATTTGATCTGTATTTGTTTTGGCAGTAGAATATTCGTTTTTTATGTGTATAAAAATTTAAGCAAGTTTGCTAAAAATTATAATTCACTTAAAGCTTAACAGTTACTCAAAAAACTCAGAGTAAAAGCGATTGCTTATTTTTATTCACCCGGCTTATTACGTGAAAAACGTGGGCTATTTTGCTCAAATTCATATTTACGTCAAGATGAGTTATGACACCAAAATCGCTGAGAAAAACGCAATCATTTGATTTTATTCAAACAGCCCCCTAACTCTGATGAAGTCACTTTAAATCGAAATAAATCATTATTTAAATATTTATAAAAACTTAAACATATATTAATTTTGCTGTGAACTATTGTGAACTTCGAAGGTGAAACTTTGCAGTGAACTTTACGTAAACTTCGTAGGTGAACTATGTTCATAATTTTAGCAACTTCAGCAGCCAAGACTGTTGACGCATTGTCCTTTGTAGAAAAGCCATCTTTTCCTAATTCATCTATTAAGGTAGAGCGGGGCATATCGGGACAGCGGGACATAACGGGAAGGTTATCCCTGAAGC